AGTAGAAAGAAAGTTGCAAGTGATGATTTTGGCCGAGGCAAGTGTTTGACATTTTGTCCTTAAGATGAATTTACCCGGCAACGGTTCTAATGGGTTTCCGAAAATCATCTCCCAAGATACAACGACCACGTCGAGTCATAGGAGCACTCCAAATGACTTAGACCAGCGAACTCAAACGGAATTTCGCTCTACCATAACATGACTTGGATGCAAGATGAAATCACTTTCTACAAAGTGTTTTATGCAACATGATATGAATCAATGATATGGAATGAATTGGTATTGGATTGGATGTCAAATAAACGTCTAAAGGGTCCTTTATATAGACTATGAAGGGTTGTGGGTGAAGGGACACACCCAAAATTTAGCATTTTTAATGAAAAGTTGCAACACTTCATTTCGAAAAGTTGTAACACTTCATTTCAAACATGTATCTTTTTGAAAAGTTGCAACACTTCATTCTTCCAAATTTGGATCGCAATTTCTCATTCATCCGAAATTGGTTTCGAGATTCCAAATATACCACGACGATCTACTCGACAAGTAAAATAAGTTGGTCTATTTACTTTTGTAATTTGACCATCGAATCAAGTCCGAACATTCGATTAAAGTTGACACGAAGTCACACCTTTTCATTTTCTCAGTTTTAAACTTAACTTATTTTCGATTAATTTTTGAACCAATTCCAACAATTCTCCACACGAATGGAAATTCAAGTATGCAAATGTAATGCTATGATGTGATGCAAGTAGATAGAAAGCGGAAAGCCACTGCATCGGGGATAGTAGCTTCTGGCCTTGAACTTCCCGTAATGAAATACCATCGGACTTACTAGGCTAATTGGTGAACGTGATGTCTTGAATCATTCAGCCTTTAGTGTAAGCCAAGACAATGATACTCACACAATGTCTTCCCTAAACTGTTCATGGCTCTCATGACTTGGTTCATTTTGGCCTTGAACCCTTCTTGGTTCTGCGAGTGTTTAGAGAATTTAAGCCTTGAATAATTCTCATTGAAGCGGCCACACTTCATACTTACATAGGTGATCTCCTATTAAGAGTATTCTGCCCTACTCCACTTGACTTAATCAAGATATAGGAATCATTAAAAGATTATCTTAACCTCTTGCAACTCTATAGAAAGCACTTTAATATCATAAGAATGAGTTAGGAAATTATTTTCCTTAGTGTTTCGTGGAATCCTCATAACTTAGTTGTCCCTTTGAACCAAGACCTTGGGATCTCCAGTCAACAAGATAGGATTACCGTTACAAGGACTCTAACGTAGTAGGCTTTACCTCATTCCCTTCGATATGCAGTAGTATTCTTGATTTCTCGGCAAATCTCTTAAAGGTACCACTAGTTTACACCATTGAGATCAACTGCTTAATGGTATTATGTCTATGACTTATATGTCTAGACCTACCATTACATGTGACTTAGTATCTTATCAAATGTTGCTAGCTAATGATCGATTTATTTGATAATTGTAATTGTCGCCACCAAGAAATCTTCTCATGAAGCTATATGCCTCATTAGTTTTATCAATTTCCAAACACAGTTGGAGGATTTTTATCAAACACTACACTAGTCAATCACTTTTACTAGTGGATTTCAGAATCATGAGTGTTCAATATTATCATTGAATTATTACCATGCATTTGAATTATATGAATATTCTTCATATATTTCAATTGTTCTTGCATGTCCAAACAACCGCCACAATTGGCTTCTACCCATTTAATCCACTTTAAACTTAGTGTATATCATCCTTATAATTACTATAAGAGTTTTCTATCTTTTCACCTTCATAGATATCTTTCTAAGATTATAAGATAAAATATAACTGAGTTACCCCCCACAATTCCTCAATTAAGAATACATATGCAATCTAGAAACGTTGCATCCATAAGTTTTAAACTTTTCATTCAAGTTCATGATCATTTATGATAATCCTCCACATCTTTGGGTTATAATTGAACTTAGGGTTTGGAAACTCTTTCATAGTTCAATTTATTTATCTCTTAGATAATGTCCATATCGAGTGCTTAGTGAAAGTCTAGATACTTTCAAAGTAGTGGTCGTTGACTCACAATTTATTTCAATTAAAGTTGCATATAACGTACTTCAATCCAATTATTTCAATTTGATTATTCAAATTAAATCAAGGCAATCATATAGACCTGCAATGCTTTCAAAACATATACCAACTTAATTGGTTCATGATTGAAGTCAAATTCAACAATAAAGAGGGCTAAGCATTGCAACTTCTTCAAACATATACAACTTATCACATTTGTAATATTTCACATGATAGTTTCATTTTAACCATCGGTTGAAAAGTTGTGTTCTCAAAAGACACAATCCTATAAAAGGACACACTTCTTGGATCAATCTCTATGAAGAGACATACACATTGAAAAATAATTATATCAAAAGTCATGATTTTTCATATGAAATAACGCACATTTGCATTAAATTGATCCTAGAATATTTTATAATATTCTACATAATTTTTCCACCAATTCCAAGTAATCAAATTAGGACAAATTACATTTTATCATATCCTTATGCAAATATAATTTTGCACAAATCATCCCATTTAATTTTATTGAAGTCAGAAATTTGACTAAATCATCACATTCAAAATTTTCCAAATTTAAAGGAAGTTCAGCACCATTGTCAACTTCAGGCACAGTTTGTGCTCTACAAAGTATTTTCATGATTTAATATTTTTGCAACAATTTTCACTAGAACAATTCATATAATAGCATAATAGTTTCTCATGTATGCATCATTTAAGAGTTGCACAGAACCCTACCGAGCATAAAACATAAATCGATGTCGAGTTTATGCAATCAAATTTTATTATCCAATCCATTTAATACTTTGTTCATGCAAACAGAATAATGAAAAATATAATTGCACGAAAACAAAATTCATCTTAAGATTGTTGGGGAATACATCGATTCAAATGTGCATATTATATTCACAAAACGTAACTTACACGTTCATGAAATCGAAACAAGGTTTCGACTTACCGAAATGGAGTTTGAGAAACTAACCA